ACCGACGTCAGGTTGAACAAGAAAGGTGTAAAAATACACCTAGGCGACGAATTGTATATTATGTAAATTAGGGTATTATCAATTTAATTTATTTTTATTATATGTACGAATTGGAATATTCACTTCATAAGCTACATGTACATATATGTGCCTGGTTATTTACATGTCGGCAATCGACCAATATCGGGTCCCCATTCTTAGCTCGGTGTTTGTTGCTATTGTTTAGATTTAATTCCAATCTTTTATAAATATTTTTAAAGGGATATCTTATGTTTTACAAACATTTCAAACTTGTTCTTAACTTCTTAAGAAATTTCCGTAAATTCAAAACTTTCGAAATATTTTTGAGTCCGCGTACGATATTTCCAACGATTTCTAAAGAAAGGCAACTCGGTTCTACCATTTTTTTTAATTTTTGTAAATTACCCGTGACGAAGTAATTTGCACATCAACACGAAGCGTTCTGTGAGCCAAAAATACTAGTAGGTATCGTTGATGAACCCTGCGGCGATCCTGCCGTCGGCGAGCACTCGACACGATAGCGGCCAGCCATTGATACAGAAAAACAGTGCCAAACCGTACGCTGCTTTTAATAAATCTCAAACTCTAGTGAAACATCAAATCCTTTCTGTTGTACCATGGTTGTACAGTGCATCCATATTTCTTGAGATAAAAAAATAGGTACCCATTCACAAAAACGCTTGTAAATACAAGGATCTTTCTCGCACAGTATTACGTAGATCTATTACACGGCGCCGAAACATGTCAAAATACACTCCGTCTTCCCTCTCGTCAAAAACGCCGTCCGTGCAAGTCATGTGTGCTTCCAAATAAGGAAGTCCGCGGAAACCGCTGGCAGCTCGGGCGATCGCGATCTTCGGCCTGCATCGGCGCGTGTGACGTCATGATCGGGCTCATTTGTATGCAGGCGTCTGCCTTTTGACTACACGGACTACAAAGGACGCCGCCAGAGAGCGTAAACCCAGATGCCGCGGGTGAAACTGCACATCAAGTAAATACGAAGTTTGGCTGGTAAAAAAAGAAATTAAAATTAAGATCTCAGTTGATTGCCACTTTCGAAATTTTTGCAAATTATGACATTTCCGAAAACATGCTACTCAAGTACGTACATTTTTATAATAATTTCAGAATATTTATAATATTTTCAAAAATAAAAACATTGAGAAAATATTAAAGGTACTATTTTAAAAACACTCGGTGACTTGGAATGGACTCTATAAGAGCGCACGTACAGCACATGAATCCAGATAAAATCTATCAAAAGTTGTAAGACATAAAAGGACATACTACTTGTGATGAAAGCTCCTTGTATAAAGTCAGTAGGAACAAAGATCACTGGATACCGGTACGGTGATCATTATCTAGTCTACCGAAGCGATCCTTTTCTTCCACTGCTGCAAATTTTACATGCCCGGTCAAGCGGTCGTTGACCTTATATAATAGAAAGCAGGACAATATAGTTTACGTGCGCTCTGGACTCTGGATCGATACGCAAAAACCATATGTATATCATATACATTATCATTATGTGCATAACATAGCATGGTCTGTCGCTGTGTGTATATTCTGTAAGGGTAGGAATAGGCTATCAAACCCAAACCTTTTCGCAGGTACGGGATTGTCAGAAAAATGTTTATGAAAGCCGTTATGAACCCCAATGCTACAGATATAGGCCTGGCGTGCTTGTGGATGCTGTCCGTGTGCTGGTTCGCAAACAGGCCACGCCCGCGAGGTCTGGTTTATAGATGTGTTGTCCGCCACACACGTTTGCAGGGACACCAACATGCATCCAAGGTTGATAAATAAATAAATAGAGTGACCACAGATACACTCGCCAGAAACGTACAGAACGACCTTATAGAGGTAAAGTTGATCCGCGAAGATCAGGCGGTTCCACAAGTGTCATCTGTTGTTGTTCTGTCGAATTGAACGTGTTGCGGTGCGTAGATAAGATCTCCTTGGTGACATTCGTTGTTTCCGATTCCGAATGCAGAAATGTATGTCCAGATACTAATATTTGCTATACACTTGATCTGGCCTGTCGTTCACAATTGACTTTTTCAGTGACTATGTCTTTACATAGCCTTTACCAGACTCACAACGCTGGCTATTTATGGTAGAATATTTGCCAGGGGAGTTTGACCGCCTTGTAGGACCTTGTAGGTTTGACTGGCCTTCGGAGGGAAAGATTTATAAGGGGGTCATTTAACTACCTCCTCGCGGCCGGACTCCCTTGGCCAATTTTAATCTCTTTTTTCCCCGAATTCTACGATCCGTATTCCCGTAGAAAGGCCTGGTGGATGCTAGTTTTTATATGCCTCAAATCGCCGCGTCACAATGTAACGTTGGATGCACTTTTGTCCGTTTTTGTTGGCACATATTTTTCTTTGTAGCGGTTTTAGGACAAACAGTAAAAGGAAACACAACAGAGTCAGAAGAAGAATAAAGACACACATTATTTTTATAATCTTCCATGGGTTTCATCGTTATAGTAAATAAATGGAACCCGTCATTTCTTTTCGGCAGCGTTTTGGAATTTGAAAAGGCTTGCGCTGTGGACATGTGCTCATGTTGGTAATATAAGGGGCTTTACGTTTTCAGGTTTCGGGGAAGGTTTCTGTTTGTTTACACCGCCGCTACAACAACAAGCTTGACCCCTTTCGCACCATCCCATACAGTGACCCTGGCCAGATGGCCGGAGGTTGCCTCGCACAAGTTGTTGTGGTCAGCAGAAATGTAGTTAGATAATCGTATTCATTGTCTTGGCCAATCAGGCGTAATTGTCTTACAATTAGCAATATTTAATCCCTCCCATATATTCCAAAAATGGACAGAGCTGGCAAAACATGTTAATAAGGATGTGTCCTCGTATAAATATCACCGCGACCTACTCGCAGACTCATTACGCACGGAAAAAAAAAACCAAGTCCATCGGCGGCGTGACCTCACGACCAGGCCGCGGGACGTGGAGCGCGGGTAGCCCGGCCAATCTGGAGCAGCGCACGGGCGTAGAATGCAGGCAGCCCCGGCCAACAGCGCGCGGGCGTGGAAAGCGGGTGTCCCGCGGCCCGGTCAACCCTCACCCTCGCCGGAGCAGCACGCACACTTGGAAGGCCCCCGGATTTTAGTCGTACAGGCACGGAGGTAAGCCCAAACTTGAGTAGGTTGAGACTGTTCTTTTAATATTGGAACCATGCCATATGTAGTGTGTATTTGTGTCCACGGTCTTGGTTCATGTTGCCTTCTTACGTGTACCATCAAACGGTGTATTATTTTGGTTTAAAGTTTTTTTGGGTAATGTTATGATTTTTTTGTGTGCATGTAACATGTAAGTTGTTCCATATCGATCAGTCCGTTTTTCTATGCAGTTGTTCAGGCTAGGTGACATTGTCTCTGAGCGGCCCCACGTTCTGCTCGGGTACCGTCTCTTATTTTGAAATTTAAAGAATCGTTGTTCTCACCGGCGTCCTGACGGTTCTGATACCGTTTCGTCCAAATGTTTTCCTTCGCTGTCAATCTTTGTTGTAAAGCTTGCGTAAATAACTCATTAATTTCGTTTCTACACTATGATAACCCTTTATACTATTCTAAATGACGTACCCACTAAACGTAGCCTGTTGCTCTGGCTTAAAGTACATGTAAGTGTTGCCCCCAGCTTCTGACAACAGTGATTTTCCGCACAGTTCCCGACAATGTCAACGTGAAAAGTTCTAGTGGTTTGGGGGAAATTGGGTCACAGAGTAAAGATGAAAACATTCGCCTTTACATTTGTTGAGGATGTAGAACTGGTTATACAAGAAGAAGCGCAGGCGGGCGTCCATGACCGTAGATATATCGGGGAGGCTACGTATATACGGTGCTAGGGCGAATAATCGTTCCGTTGTATTTACTATCAGTTCCTTGACTCTGCTTCATACGTTTTGAGACTGACAGTTCATCGTTTTCAGAAAAATCCGCGCCTTGGACCGTCACATTCCCTGCTATGCCCTGCTATCACCATGGTACATCGCGTGGATCATTTCATTTCCCAACAGCCACAACTATCAACTTTAAAACGATCATTTTAAAAACTTTGACTGATGTTGTGGTTTGAGTAAACAAGGAAGCGATTCGAATCTGCTGTCTCGGCGGGGTTGATTGGACGGGGTGAGAGTATAGAAGAAAATTCGCCCTTTGTCTGTACAATAATTATATACTAGAATAGGGTACTTGCTCATTAAATCTTTTGGAACTTTCCCTACTTTTGCTTTTTGTCGGCTTATAATATCAGCGGTTATAGGAAAGGTGAGTTCGCTATAATTAGAAATGCATAATGCGGATTCGATGACCAGTAAGCGGTAAACCATACGGGTCTGTTGGTTACATCATCGTACGATATTAAGAAAGTACGTGGCTATTGACACACCCGTTGTGGATATAAAATATTTCTCTTTCCTTATTGACACACCCGGTGTGGATAGGAATTTTTTCTCTTTATCGATTCACTTGGTGTGGATATAAAAAAATTATTTTCTTATTGACACACCCGACGTGGATGTATTTTATGTTTATTGACAATCCGGTACATCCTAAATCTAACCCTTGATGATTGATGCACCTACACTTTGCTGCTATGTACGCATGTTCTCCTCCGCGGTCACGCTGAACGCTGTCGAACTATGCAGAACGCTGTCGAACTATGCAGAATAACGCAACCCTAGAATATAACAAACTTCGTTAACTTGTTCTACACTGTTTCTTTCAGCTCTACATGACGACAAACACAAAAGTTACTCAAGAATACAAGACAGAAGAAGTGGAACAAAATACCAGGTAAGTGCCTAACCATCCTTATTATACGCAATATTGTAAATAATCACCATAGTTAGGCAATGTTCGCATCTCTATAGTACTTCTTTCAGGATAAGCTGTGTGAGTTTTGAAAAGTACCATGCTTTCTATGATTAATATGATTGCTGGGAAAACAATGTAGCCTGGATGCCAGGCCCCCGTGCCATGATTCAGTTAAATTACATGATAGGACTATTAAAGCATGTGGCATATGTAATTGCGAACGAGAGAAACACAGGCAGATATCATGTAAATTAAGATTTAATTTGCATAATTAATGAGAAATTCAGCAATGTTGTAATTCAGCAATGGTAACTGCCTGGAATTTCATACCTAGGGCATTTGAAAGTTAGGTGAAGGTAAACATCATTAAATCACATAACTTATTCAAATATGGACCTCATTTGCTTTTCTCTTTTTGTGTCCACAGGTAAATTTCGCCATGTCTCACCCTGAGATGCAGACTACAGCAGGGATTCACTGGCAAGCACGAAGCCCAGTCAAGGAAGGATCGGGGTGTGCATTCATGTTTTGCACGCAAGAAGATTGAAAAAACAAGCATTGAATGCAGCAGCATCGTGAAAGCAAAGAAAAAATATGAATAAAAAAAGCAAGACTGACACAAACACGCATGGTGGAAAACACACAAAACATCATCATTAGCACACAGTTAAGTTATAAATAAAAGCCCAGCATCATATGGTTGAAGCTAAAAACTTACTTAAAACATTATTCTTTTAAGCTTGAATATGCTGCTCCTTGTTCTTTCTTATGAGCAACAAAATTATTCTGTTTTATTTTATTCTATTTTTCTCTCTTGATAGAAGAGAACATATTTGAAATATCAATAAAGACAATCATTAATATTCTGTGTGCAAAAAGCCACAGTTGGTCGGAAAAGGTGTCTTTTGCATGCATGGTAACATAGGCCTTTCCTACTTATAAAGTATCCAGTTATCGACTGACAACTAAGCCATTAAACTATACACAAAAGACTTCTGCAAAAGATCAACCATCACTTTAGATATCCCTACTTGCTGTGTACAAACACAGTCATTCAAACAAGTAATTCCCTAGGGAATGCATTGACGGAATTTTTAGAATATTTTCAACTCGATCGCAGTACTATACTAACGGCTCCGCCCCTGAGGCGTCGCCAAAAACCCCAAGGCAGCCAAACTCCCCTTGCAAATATTCTCCTACATATAACCAGCGTAGGTAATCTGGTAGAGACTAGTGTTTCGAAAGTTTCCTACCGAGTCGTGTTGTTCTAGAAGCTTGTCGGACAACGTCTGCGATGCGTGGAAAGCAAACGGGTCTTTATCGTGATGGCTGATGTAGAACAGAATCACAACAAACAGGAACAGGAGAACGTACTCCACTACGACCAAGACAGACTTCCGCCGCTGTTCATTTTTTACTTTCATCCTTTTTGAAGATGCAGCCCCGGGAGGATACACCTTCTTAGGAGCTGAAAGTTTGGACATCATAAACGGTGATTAGAACAGACATTTTATTATCAAAGCCTAACGTTACAGCTTAATAATTCATAATGATTTTATTACTTGTTACACCGATTGAGGGAGATAACCGGTTAGGACCTGCGCTTATAGAAGTAAACATTAAAACCCCATATGTTTGTTTTGAGTGTGTATATTATTTGTTAGATCATGTATCATTATATTTATATTTAATTGATTATGTTTGATGGTGACACTAACATAAGGTCGATCAACTTAAGTGCGCCGTCATCTTGTCTGAGTGTTTTCTTTATTCGTGTTTTGATAAACAATAACGGACACAACATATTAATTAAGATTCTAATAGCTTCAGCCACCGTTGGTGTAATTTAAAACTTACCTAAAGAAACTCGTAAAATATAGTTATGGTACTGTTGTTTACCTTTCTGATCATAAAGATGCATGTGGAGTTCTTCTTTCTTGATATTGTATGTCGTTTGCTTGTCAGACAGCCTATGGTTACAAACCAAGGCAAAAAGGACTGCCAGGACCAATATCTGTCGGTACATCATCAATAAGATAGTCATTAGCTGCATTATGCAAGACGTTAGAGTAGCATGCATTATACTTGACGTTGCAATATGTTATTATTTTACTTATTTTGCAAGCATGGCTTTCTGTTTGTTTGTTTATTACGAATACACGTGTTACATGAAATCATATTCTCCTACTCCTATACTTAATAGGAGTAGGACTATATGATTTCATGTAACACGTGTATTTGTTTACGTATACCTTTGGGTACTTGTGTTACTTATGGCTCACAACCCTTTGTTATTTATGTTAAATTTTTATTTATTTTCTTAGTTATAATGATGATTTCTTTTGATGATTGTTTCTGTAGTTTGAGCCCCATTGAAAATCAATTCGACCAAATCGAATGGGCCACTCAGTTGTCTTAATATTTAATAGATAAATAAAAAAAGGTATAGTATCCCATCTCTAAGTTGCTTTGCTTTTGTATCGAGTTATGATAAGTATGAACCTTTTGTTATCATTTGTTTTTCATGGTTTGATGTTCACGATTTGTGTTTGGGGTTTCCCCCTGGGAACAATGAAAAACGACATTTTGGCTATATATCTTGATGAAAGATATTGATGAAACACACAAACAAACAACAAACCGCCAACTCAGTGGTATTGGACATCGTCTTTGTGACAGCTGCTAAGCAGAGACTTGGTATTGCACAGATAAAAAAGGACAAATACTAATACGTAAACAAAGTTTACCTGGCCAGTATCGGCGATAAGACTTGATAAACCGAATGAAAATAAGAAGGCTTTTAGCCAAGCCGCACTCTTCTCTCCACTCCAGGTTAGACTGTACAGGATGACAAAGAATGACGAGACGATGGAAACCGTTACCACTAGCAACCACGCCACGTACTTAGACCAGCGTCTTAGTCGCTTCCTGCATAACCCTGCAAGTAAGAATAGGTAAAAAGAAGGTGTAAGTTTGATATCAACTCTCTCTCTCTCTCTCTCTCTCCGTACATATTAGGACACTTGCTAGATGATCTATACTAACACAATTTGTTTATTTATTGTTGATTTGCATATATAACAAAACAAGACAAACTGTAGTAAATATACTAAAAACGAGACGGAGTTACCAAAGACTCATTTTTGTCTATCTGGCGAGTCATCGGCCATTTCCGTCAGGATGCGTGGTGTCTCGTGGTTTTGGGGGGTTCAAAACACACACAAAATGGCTTCCTTTGCTTTCCAGAACGTTTCTTAGACGGATATGACGTATTTTTGACCTTTCAACTCGCCTTTACGTAGGTGTAGAAGGGAGATCTACACTAAGATCAAAGTGTTTAAGGCATGTATTGAAACAATTCTTTTGTATGGGTCAGAATCATGGGTCATGAATATGTCACATTCTAGAAAACTAAACGGAACATACACGAAGATGTTGCGAGTGGTTTTCAATACACCATGGTGGAAACACACTACTAATGAACAGTTATACGGTTCGCTACCAAATGTAACTTCAGTAGTCAAATATCGACGACTAAGCTTGGCCGGTCATGTAGTACGTAGTGAAGAACCAGCCAGTAGGCTTCTACTCTGGAACCCTGATACCTGTAAGAGAAGAGTTGGACGCCCAAACATAACAGTTAAGAAACTTATTGAAACTGAAACTGGCTTGGAGGGACATGAACTTTTCTCAGTGATGTATGACAGACAGTTGTGGCGAGCTAACTTTGTATGCTCCACCTCTACGGAGGATGAATGATGATGATGATGATGATGATGAGAAGGGAGAATTCTGGGGAAATACACTTGGACTGCTCGAGAAATGCAGGCAGTCACAGCGTCGCGGGAAAATGACGTCATTGCGCGGGGCGCTCTCTGATTGGCTTATGGATAGTTGGCAAATAAAGCAACATTCCCGACTGTCTGGTGTTGCCCTACTTAATACAATGAAAGGGTGTCGTTTCTTCAAAAATTGTTCTTCAAAAGTACCTTCATACTCCCATATTTAAGTTACGCCGGACATAATTGAAATACCATACCATATTTGGCGTTACGCCAGACATAATTAGAATAACATACCGTATTTGGAGATACGCTGTATTCCGGGAACTTTGATTGGCCCTGGTTCCTCCACACGGAACAATAGAGTCGGAACCAAGGCAACCGGTACCACCATTAAAACAGTCATGATACTAACGTACAGCTCCTGGGTTACACAAAAAACATAAAGCTCATCATACCATACCAACATGTCGATTGATAACAAAAGATAAATATACAAACTTGATAGAAATATATAAAATTTCATTCATTCATTCATATACATTGTGAGTTTTGAATTTTATCACAATGGAGCACATTTCATCAATTTACAAGGTCTCCATGCCTAAATTTCCCAAGGAAATGAGAAGGGAGATATTTGGTTGGAATTACAAGCATTATATGAGTTCATTAGGTATGAGAAATGGGTACAACTAGATAAAGGTAGGGAAGATTGACTTATTAAACTATAAACTAAGATTCTGGTCGATTGATCTTTGAGGTTATAGCAAATGGTGAAAAAGGGGACTATGTGGTCGTCTTACTTGTAGGGTGAACTGTACAAAACCCAGATCATACACGGTGTTCTTGGTCTGAAAACCTTCGTCATTCTTGTACCACATGGCACTAGACAGCATCATGCTGCTGAAGACAGCACAGCAACAGGACAGGCGTTCTGCCTTGGTGAAACTGGATACTGAAAATAGATTTAAAACAAACACTATAATATGCTAGATGTGCTATCATATGTTAGACGAATTGTTTATTGTCAGGTATAGCTATACTGTAGTAACTAATAAAAAGCAAACTAAAACGGAAAGAAAGCAACGCACTAACCTGGTATCCTGCATATCGTGCTCGGGCGGGGTTTCTTCGGGGCTGCAGGGGCTCTTCCCCGCCCGCCTAAGGTAGATTCCCCTGGTAGGTTTTTCACGGCAGGAGTTTGATTAGGCTCAACTCCCCGGCTTGCCATCTCTATTAGAGTAACACTGCTACCGGGCTGCCCGTTGTATTGGGCGGGGGGAAACTATTGGAGCCCCGAAGACACAGCCTGCCCCAACTACTATGCCCCAACCACGATTAGACTAGATACCAGCTTAGCTACGCACCAGGTTAGAATTAACAATGTATCATCAACGACTAGTGCTAACAATACCTTCAGGAGTCATTAAAGAAGATGTCCACAAGTGCTGATCGTAGAACATTGCGTCCGTGTTCTCACGGAACAGACTACCGAAGCAGTCCAACTGTTCCTGGGTCGCCACGTGTAGAACTTTCTGAACCTGGAAGTCACCTCGGTCTTCAGACAGCCAGTCATAGCAGACAAACTGATAACTGCAAAAGGCACACAAAATAGCAAGTTGTAGGTTGATGGGTCAAGGCACGGCACTAAGTAAAATGTTAGCAAGAACAGAAACCAAGAATAGTGAAGAAATGTGTTTGTTAGATAATTCTGAAGTGCCCCAACCGTTAAACTATGGAGTTGATGAGAGGAAAAAAGTATCCTGATTTTGATTATGACTGAAAACCTATAGATATGTTTCTATACACCAATGATCTAGTAATAAAAATGAGGCGTTTATTGTTTGCATATTGTCTTATTCTGTTTGCAGATCCTTTATAACAAAGCCCGTGAAAAACCAAGACGCTTCACCAAAAGTACAAAAATATATCTCCTTTGACCAAGATTCAAGTGAAGGCCGAATTACAATAGACAAACTGATTAAGGGTTATGTATTAAGTCTGATATGATATTTACGGCTTGGAATTGAAAGACTTTAACTTTTAACTTTAAGTTTTAAATTAAAACCCACAGTGCGCATATTTCCTGATTTTGAATATGAATGACAACAGTTTGTTTTACATTAATCTTCTAGAAGCCTGTAACGCAAGCAGCTATAACGAATAATGTTTCATCTTACACTTCCTCTGTTTGCAAGTCCTTCACAATGACTTCCTTCAGAAACCACGAGGTTTCATCCACACCGGTGTTGTCGTGCCAGATATGCAGCAGCTCCAGATGTCCCAGTGACGTCTTCTGGGGCATGATGAGGTCATGAGTACCACCTCTTAGCATGGACTGCAAAGGCATGGACGTGGCGTTTAAAAAGTTAAATATGATCGATTATTTTCTTTATATCAGGATTAATCGTTAAGCAGTTCCTTCTGCTTCCAACAGAAAAACAAATTGTTTTAGTGACAACCGAGAAAAAGAGCTTATCAAGAACACACAAATCAAGTACTGGTAAGTGGTAATGGCATGCAAGGGTACAAGAGCACATGTCACGTCGTTGGTTTAGACTTACTTCTCCACACGGGTTGATAACTTTGACTGTTGTTTTGCTGTTTGATCCGAATAATCTGAACCCGATTCGTGCCGATGTTCCAGCACCAAACATGGAGCCGGTGTTCACGGTGATCTGGTACAGATATGGGGCTGGCATCCTGTCCGGAGGGAGGACGGACAGCAGGGGCAATGGCTTCTTATTGCCGGGAGTCGCTGTTTTTTCCGTCTTCTTTTTGTGGTAAAAAAAATGTATATCAAACCACAATATTAAAACTATAGCTGAGAAAGTGTTAATTGCAAATTGCACTCTAAAAACAACTAAATATACTTACTCGGAGTCGCTGAAAGTCTACGTGGAGTATAACCAATATTACAATGTACAGAGCCCACGAGCCGATAACCATACAGAAAACAATGTCGTTGTTATTGAGGATGTTGGGATCTTTGAAGATGTCGTCGAAATCAATAGAATTTGGAAGAACGTGCAGGGATCCACCAACGACTGGCTTAGGCTTGGGAAAGCTGCAGGTACATCTGATGGTACTATCAAATAGATCCACTTGGACCTGACAACAAAACAGAACGTAAGATGAGATTTCCATCACCAGACCACTGAAGCTTCAAACGTTCAAGTGAAAAAGACGAGAAAAGTGATTTGTATGAATATTGTCGCCACATCATATCAAAGAGAAAACTACCAAGATTTGCAGCTCCCTTGCAGCTAGGAGTTGCTTTTCTGTATCTAAATTAACGCTTCACGCAAGTTGGGACCAAAGCAAGTAAATGTACTGTATTTGCGACATTGGTACACGCATTGCAGTTTTGTTTGGTTAAAAATCCAAAACTTACCCCACAGTCTGCGTCTTGCCACTTCTCCAGTGTATGATCCCAGTTAAGACAGCTGACTGTAGTTGCCTGAAGTACGTAATCTTCGGGCGAAGGTGTCGTTTGCAGAAGAATGCCAGATTCTAAAGAGATTTTGAAGTCAAGATTTAAGAATTGTTTAAAGCAATTGCATTGTGATATAAGTTGCACAGAACGTCAGAAGAAAACAAATGTAAAGTTGCTGTCACAATAGAGTGGCTTTACCGAATTCAATTGCTATGCCTTCACAAATTCTTGTTACCAAATCAAAATGTTATTGTTTTGGCCTGTGTGTGTGTGAGTGTGTTTCCGCATACTTGTGGTCAGCATAACTTAAGAAGGCTTATGGGTTGCGATGATATAAAAATTCACACTTGATATTAAAAAGTTGGTACAAAACGTTGCTAATGTATAGGACTTTCACATAAGAAATATATGTAATTTTGGTTGAGACAACAATGTATAGAATAAAGTATGCTATATGTAAATAATCGTCTCCATGACCAATGAGAAATAAAAAAATTACAAAGGCTCTTCATGTTTTATGTAGGTATGAGATCTCTGAATTCTTGTTTGACATGTTTGTTACCTAATTTCTGTATCCAAACATAGAGTCTCCCCCGCCGTCTCTGGATATTTGGAGTGAATGTCTGCAAGCTGTTTGTGCCTCGATGCCAAGCCAGAAAAACGTCTTCTTCCTGAACTATCACCATGTCGTCATACAGCTCCTCTGTTGGAGGCGTGTCGTACCGGAAGAACACACAGAAGGCAGCGGCGTGATCCCACCACGACAACTGCATCACAACGACAACGGAATCAGCTGGTACGTCAAACGCGTGAAGAGCCATCGTCACGCTGCTGTTCTGTCCGCCGGCGACGTCTCCCATCGCAGACTGTGTCCCAACAGAACCACGTTCCTGAATATCACGTTTGTGACGTCTGGGTCGTTCAATAGATGCAAATGAGATGGGCTTCGAAAGGTTCAGCTTCGTAGAGCAGTTGTCAAAGTGTCGAGGTCCCCAAGAAAACATAGTCAAGGGTGTGCTGACGTTTTGCCCAAAGGTAGATACGTTCCAGGAAAATAGATTGCTCTTCATCACAATCATCTGCGACAAATGCAAGATTATTGGAATTTATTGCGATAAAATAAATCGTCTATATGGATTTGACGCCACTACTTATGAAGTTAAATATAGATTCCAATTTACTCATCAGCACTGAACGATAGATGATGCCAACTTCAATTAGCGTTTAATCAATCAATCAATCTATCTATCTATCTATCTATCAATCATACTTTTTCAATTGGTATAAAACATACTACCCGTGAAATATAACGATGAATTATTTCTTTTGTTTACCGAAGGAAAACATATTGTTTTTGCATGACACGTTTCATTTTATTCACTTCCAACGACTGACCTCTGACCTGGTCAATGACCTGATTTGTTGACTTCTCTCACTATGGTAACTGGTGTTGGGTTTCATAATGTTGCAATTTTATAGTAGGAGGGATTTATACTCCTGTCTGACCATGAATGTATTTGAGTAAGAATTAACAGAGCAGACCATATGCAAAGGAAAACATTATGCATTTGCTTTGCAAATGTTACCTTTCTAGTTTCTTCATATCTTTGTTCATATTTAAGCTTTCTGCCATTTTACACTCATTGTCAACCTTTTCAATGTCGTAAAAAAACGAAGAGGTCATAAAATACAAATACAGAGAATAAAATTGGAATGGAAAAGCAACTGAAACAGAAGGACAGCTTATACACTAACCTTAGAATCTGTAACCCCATCTAAAGCACAATGTGTGATAGTTGCTGACACAAAAACTTGACCACACTGAAGTGCTACTGTATCATTTTTGGTAGACCTTGCAACCGTCATGTTGACATCGACATCGTCGTTTTCAAACGCCTTCACGTAGTCTTCGGTGTCTGGCAATATGCTCAGAAGGCTGTCTGCTGTTCGTTCCATGTTGTTTAGTAAGGATAACCCAGCGTTACGAAGCTGTACGTTGAATACAAATTCAAGGATATTGGAACAATCCATACTAACATGTGCCAATGTTGGTGATATGACAGTCTATCACAGCTGTAAAACGTACTCATTTGTCTAATACAGTATTGCATAAGTGCAAAGATGTTCCGATTGGTTTACATATTCCGCCTATTTTGTGAACATACAACTTTCTATTTAAAATCATATCAAATAGAACCCTCATTTTGAAATAAGTTCGAGTTAGCATTTCTACGATAGCCCAGATGAAAGTATGCAAAAAAAATCGTCTTATGTCCCGAGATCGCTGTAAGAACGATTTCCACAAGTTGGTAACTGGTTACTAATGGCACTACATGAACATGTACTTTCCTTAGGATAATACTGACTGGTTCTACTTCCCCAGTCTTATTCGAGTGCCAAAAGTAAGATGAACTGAAGGTATAAAGTTTACAACCGACCTGATGGTCAGATTGCCGTTGCTTGTCTTTTATGTTCTTCAGCTGTTGTTTAGGAGACACGTCCACGGAGTTGACATCTATGAAATCCATTTCAAAGAGCGGCCGTGTGGTATCAAGGACAGTGGAGTTTCTTGCCGGCAGCAGTCGAACTAGACTGGACAAGGTGTGCGTTACGACTGAAACATTGAGAGCCATGTTCACTTTCAGTGTAAAGACCGTTCACTTTCCTTTTATTACTCAGTGGCGGAAGTTAGTGACCTTCCGGAGTATTGTAATCAGTTTTGTCTGTACGTTCACATTTACTGCATTGGTATAAAAATTGGCTTGCCGTCTGCTATTATGCGCGAGATGATGCACCTTGTTTTTAGTTTTCATAGACATATGTAATTTATTATTTCAGAAAACACCCCTATTTTGATGGTCTTGTGGAACAGGTCATTAACTTCGACGGCCTTTGTGGTTGTACGGAAATAGGAATTTTTCGGGAAGAAAGTATTCTGAGTATATATCTAATTACACAATAGATGATGATATTGTGTCGTTGTAATTCATACTTCAGGCTATTGCTGAAATAGTCTCACCCTTATCATATTAATCAATACCAAACAACGAAAGTGTTGGTAATAATTATAACCATACACATAACACGTAACAAAACTACCAGTAGATGTCGAGAGAAATTAAGCGGAATTAAACATTGAATGCTGTATGTATACATAGAGAGATACGTGACAAATACAGTATCTCACAATGCATGTTAGTGTTCTAGTTGAATACCTTTAGTTAGTGTCTCCATCGCTGACACTGTGACACCTTGGGTCGATCTGATGAGTTCGGAAGACTTGCTCAGCAGATAGATGCCCTCCTCCTATTGAAAATTCAATCAAAGACAATTACCTTTTGTCTCATATGCTCTAATATGTGAGAATATTACTTGACGTTGTACGAAAGCGTATCTGTATGCACATAGACACTCTAATACATTATGTTATGTTTGCAATACCATAGAAAATAACTAAGGCTGCATAATCATACTTGTGCTTTGTTTTGCCTACTCATACCCACATACCAAATACCATGAAGATTCATCTAAAACCTCTTGAGTAATACTGTTAGATACGTTCAGAATGGAGAACATAAATTTGCAAGGAAATGGTAATAGGTAAATGTAGCAACTTTTTGAACATCATTTACACTTCCGTAAATAATTTCATCAGGTTGGTAAACGAATTGTTCTTTGATCACAACCATTTTACGAGCCGACGTTTCGATGACCGTCTGTAATCTTCATTAGGGTAATATTATGACTGGTTTACTTTGCACTAACGCTAGTGAACCAAGTGAACCAAGTAACAGGGCACTGTGAACCATGTAACATCTTTAGTGCACTATGCACCAAGTAACATGTCAAGAATCAGTGCACAGTAAACCAGTCAGAATTGCCCTGATGAAGATGACAGACGGTCATCGAAACGTCAGCTCGTACAAAATAAATGATTGTGATAAAAGAACTTTAATTTGTTAACACTTTCTTACCAGTTCAGGAGAAAACCCAGCCGGAGTTAATTGTGCCGTGTCGAGCTGCAGAATACTTCTGATCCCAGTAACAATTCTTTCCACGCTTACTAAAGACGCCCCTCCATTGTTGAATTGTTCCATTTCATCCCTAAGACGATGTAGCTACAGAAAATGAGAGAAAAAGTACTACTTCCAACGATATCTGTACTTAAAGAATTTCGCGAACAAAAACCAAAGGAACACACCGTTAACATGTTACATATGATAGTTATCGTTAAATTCACAGCAAAGCCATTGGAAAATATAATTCTGTTACCGCTTCTAGAGGACTAAGCGACCTTCCAGGAGTGGACAATCCCTCATTGCCACTGTCTTAAAATAAAAGTGACAAAATGATTACATATGGTATATAGAAAAAGAAGAGATTATTAATATAAAGCCACTATTAAAACGAAGCAATTTGTTTAAAAAACAACAGGTAAAGCTCTGGTTGACACCCTAAAACTCATGGATGTTAAGATTTGTTCAAGAGTACACTGCAGAGAGAGACTACTTTTCTGGACTTTTGGTATTTCTTTTGTACTTTGCGCATACCGATTAATGTTGTCAGCACTGTCGTTGCGTCAGTTGTTGGCCTATGACCTGTAAAAACAGATGATTTGCATCGTTGGTTCATATTAGAGAAATATAATTCAACTACTGAGACAACTTCTTATGAGATACGCCTATTAATGTGGCGTGTTAATGCACTTTGCCCCAAGAGGTATACGAGGGCATTATTACTCCGTGAAGGAGGTCAGGACCTCCGGACGGAGTGTTGTAATCGGCTGATTTTTCATGTTCGCAGTCAAAACACTGGGTTCTCTTTGTGTAATCGGCACGCAATTTTATACGCCGTCTGCGGGCATGCCCGTGTTGATGCACGAATGTGTATTTTTGCCGTTGCTGCTTTCGCGGTCAATGTAATATCGCAGACGCACCCCTACAATTACGAGGCGAATTGGAATGGTCCAGAAAAACGCGTTGTTTGGAATAGCAGTGGGGTTCAAAAAAGTTCATGCAGATACGGGGTGGTTTTTATAAGTGGTTCCAGATGTTTTTGCCCATGGTTAAGAGATGCCAAGTTTTTTGGAAGATGTTCGCAGCCAAAACGCATTCTTCCGTACGTCGCATTTCTGTGTAATTTCGCATGTGGTGTTGCATTATGTCCGGGATGATGCACGTCTTTTTATTTTTACCGTAGCTGTTTTGATATTGGAGTAAATGCTTATTTTCGAAACATCCCCATTTCTTTGAAATGGTTTCGTCCGTTTATGCAACTGTTACTGCGCTAATGACGACCAGTCGCGCTGTCCTGATACACCGCGAATGTGCGAGTGTTCCCTGTAGACAGTCCCGGGAGTCATTTTTTTGCACATTCCAGGAGCCAAACCAAAATACGTTCATGAACCGAGTCCAAAAAACCGAAACGTGAAAATCGGATGATCGGACCTGATGTACATTTCTCTTTCTATAGATTGTACACACAATACACACATCTTTAGATAATCTGGCCATGGCAGGTTAAAAAAGTAACCCTGAATCATACTAGATTAGCGTAAATGCATGTTAATGCGTTCAAAACAAGAAAAAAATTGTTTCCGGGTATTAATCTCTTGAATCACGGCGCTGAATATTGACGCAAAAATATTTCGGGCATCGCGCGCCCTTCCCGCGTCACGTGTAGGCATCTCGCATCTCTGATTGGTTGTTGCGTAAGATGACTGAGCCGACGCGCGTTTAAACAATTTTTCTTTGTTCGATTTATCACACTTCACAGAGAATTGTCGCCAATGGCTACTTCTTTTTGTTGCAATATATAATACTTCACGGAGAATTGTCGCCTATGGCTTCTTGTTATTATTATTATTACTACTAATATTATTATTATTATTATTTATATAAATCCTGTCTTGCAGATAGTAAAGGATATGAAGGATAAAGTAGGTATGATTACTAGCTTTACCTGTCGTTGCAGTCAATGTTGTTGTGTCCACGTTGCCTAACCTAAATGTTGATGCTTTCGCTGTGTTATCTGTAACAAAAACGTACATGGTTTTACTGTATAATATCCTCTCAACAACGACAAACTGTCGAAAACCTGCTCCTCTAATGGGGGTGATTTCATAGATGATAATTAGCAAACTAGGTAGCATAGTTGATCACCTTTGAATGGGTACAATACATGCAGTAAGAAATGTGCAAATCATGATGTTCCTTACATTATCCAATCAACATGTGGGTATCAGTATCATTCAATCTGAATTCTGATTGGTCAGTCGATATAACGCGATTAGGTGTAAGACACCAGCTTTGCAATTTTGAATAGTTACGTAACGCTGAATGGCCAGTTAACACTCATATCTATTGCTTAGATCACATTTCCAAACCGGGCCTGGCCGGGCTGTTTGTATGAACGAAAAATCATCAATTCATATCAGGAATATACAGAAATAGTGCCCATGATTATCATTAAAAACTTTGTTGTCTTTATCATTGTATTTTTCATTCCCAAAAGCTGCCTGGCCAGACCCCGTGTGGGAATTGTGAGCTCAGCATAATTCTGTATCTACCGTTGAGTAAGTTATCCAATGGGTCCCAGGAGGTTACGGAAGACTTGCGATCTTCTTTGAGCCAAAGCCAAAAGGTGTTGGTTCTGATCAATACTTCCGGGCTGGATGTCGTTTTTGGTGCAATGTCTGTTGTTAACGTTGTTGCTGATACAGTCGACATTGGGTCTTGTACCACATTATCTTTTTTTTTACCAACAGGAAGCAAAGAAACAAACAAATCTAATTAGTCATTTGCCATTAGTTATATCAGCTAATATGACATAGATAACTAAAACCTAGTATAGTTCTTTGAATGGCATTTCTCTTGTAAAAGGTAACGGGAATTTACAGCTGTAGCCTTCACATTAACGTATTTCAGTACCAAACAGTGATAACTCCATCTACACGTGATAACTAAGATATCACATTATTTCAATCAATTTATCAGAAGATATTCTGTTTGTAGTAAAACGATGTACTCGTACTAGTAGAATAATGAACTAGTACCCTTCTACGAGAAGGAAATTAAAACATAAACCTCTATTATCAAAATAATGTGATAGCACACATCTGTCTATCTTTATAACAGTTTGTAATAGTTTATTCATAACAAATAGCCTCTCAGCCTGTACAAAAACATGCTGAATAACAATGATTTTTTACAGTTACTTGTCTAGCAAATACAAATTAACATTGCAAATACATATACAGACACACGAACAAAAAGATTACAAAAAGCCTCACATGGGCACTAAAGTAAAGACGAGAGAGTCCTAAGAGTCTTACTGCAAAGACTCATTGTACAGGCATATTGCCTTGTGTAAGAAAGAAGAGTTTTCAGTCTATCTGACTCATGAGCTCTGACTTGTGGGGTCGTGTAGCGTAGCGGTAGTGTCTTCGGCCCAGACTCGAGAGGGCGAGGTTCGAATCCTGCCCGATGCCACCGATCTTGTGCCCTTGGGAAAGGCATTTTACACGACGTTCCTCACTTCACTCAGGTTTAAATGAGTACCTAGCTTCGGCTAGGGACGTCCCTCGGATAGGACGTTAAATGGAGGTCCCGTGTTTGGGAGAGCAACACCCCACTCACGTTATAGAACCCACCGCACTTATCAAAAAGAGTAGGGGACCTTCCCGGTGTGAGTGGTTAAAACCTTACAGACTGGTCTCAGGTTTGACATCTTTGAAGAGGTTATAGTCACCTGTTATGTCAATCCTTCCACAAATGTGGTAAATCGTCATGAAATGAAATTTAAAAAATAATAAAATAAAAATGAGCTCAACGTACCGGTGGTTCCAAAGCTCACAGCCTCCACACTACGTCCGTACATGCTGACGGCGGCTATCCGGAGGATGTACTCCGTCGATGGGAAGAGCCCCGTTATGTTGAAGTCTGTGGCAGCAGGGGGTATGCTGTAACAAAAGGCAATTCAATGACAAGCTATTCATCTTTCTCAAATCTAGCACAACAGATTCAAGAGTCTTGATGCTACAGAGTTGAATATATGTTTAAATACAATAACTCATATAATGCCAAAATAGGTAAATAAAGACTGCTTTGTCATTAGAAAAAAAGCTCATGATTAGACACACTCGATTGTAACTCTTTATCGAAGACTTATCATATCCCTTATTGTTACCTCCATGAAAAAATGGAGGTATTGTTTTGGGCGTGTGTGTGTGTGTGTGTGTCTGTCTGTCTGTGGTCAGTATAACTTCAGAACGCCTTTATGGATTGTGATGATATTTGGTATGTTGGTACGTCTTGGAGACTGTTCTGAAGACGAAAAGACGGGCGTGGATGAAAAGTCCGCCTTGGTATATGAAGATTCCTTTTTTAACTCAACAAAACGTACAGGGACTTCCGTATGGTCTTCTACAACTAAAGATCTAACAAAGCTAAATACAAGTATGAATCAAGTCAACCTACGTACAGAATATATGTATAAGAAATACGAATTACAATTCGTTTAGTAACATTGTATTAATTGCTCACCTGAAATGTTTCTTTTCCTGGGTCGTAACGTCCGTCACCGTAAGAGCATAGGAGACAACAGCTGCTACAGGTGGTGTCCATGCCATGTTCAGCCAGGTGGAGGAAACATCTTTAACTTCCAACTCGGAGGGCGGGTCCGTAGCTATACATTGCAGCATGAAAAATGAAATTGTGTGAATGAATAGTCTCACCGGGTATGTTTTGATGGGTATCAA